GACCTTTCACCTATTTTTGAACATTTCCATTTGATTGCAATGCAAAAAAACCATACGCTGCATTCACACAAAACTCAATTCCAATACAGTGGAAGTTCTGCAAAGCGTCGACTCTTTCTGCGTCTATCAAGTTAACCAGTTCACTCTGGGTCTGCATCCAGTCAACTATCTAGAAAATACTATGGCTGGAAGACGCAATGCCGCAATGAGGAGTGGCGCTCCCCACCTGACCTGAGGAATATTTTACCATGGGTTAAATGTAACTAGCTCCAAGGCGCGAGGTAAACTCTAAAATGAACTGACCAGCTATAACTAATGAGCTATACGGTATAATGAACTACTCTAAAGTAGCAGTGTATTTTCTTGAACGCTCGCACACCCGGCTGGGCTTTCATAACATTAAATATCGCCGTTGACGGCTTTGAATCATCGCTATTCGAATCGAACTGTCGCTAGTGACGTTTTTCTTGAGAAAATTTTCTTTACCTTCGCTCAGTCAGTGGGAAATGCGACTCACTCTCGGAAGTTTCATCGCTCCTGCATATTTGATATCCCGGTGATGCGAATGGCGCTGCTGCATACCCCAATTTTAGGTAGCGTAGAACGTATTTGCCGGGGCGCCGCCACTTTGTACAAGGGAGATCCTACGTGGTACCGAACAAAGAGATGGAACTGGATGCCATTCACGAATTTGGCGCTCTCTTTCTTGGGAATCAATTTTTAAAGGAGCAGTCGTGCACTGGAAGCGGTGAGCGCGACGGGGTACAACTATTACATCCCACTAGGTAAACATGGTGAATACGCTTTGCAGAAAAAATACTGTGTCTTCAGCTTTGTTTCAATGGGGTGCGCTCTCATCGTTCCAGCATGGCTTACCTTGCCGACCGCCACGTCTACAAATGTCCCCATGGACCGGCAATTGAAGGGGTTAAGATCCTACACATTTGGATATGCAATACTCCACAAACCTTTTCATTGTAGCAGAGACTAAGGCAATGGTATTCATCGGCAGCATCTACCAACTTTTCCGAAGTACTGTCGAGAAATTTTTCGCGATAAACCTCCACAATGGTGCCAGACACCATGCCTAAAGTCAAACTTTTTGAAAAGAAATACGAGGGCAG